GCTTCATGTCTCCTTTCACCGTCTCTGTGGGGTGGAGCCTGGATAACCCACACTCACCCCATTCTCACTCTCTGTGTCCTGGGGTTTCCAGGGAACACTCAGGGTCATCGCTGCTCCATGACAGTCTCCACCAGCTCTCCTGGACTCACTCTCCCCAGAACCCAGGATGGGGTGTGATGTCCCCCATTCTCCTGCTGCTGCTCTGGGGGTCCCTGGCCCTGATGGAGACCTGGGCAGCTGAGTGCAGGGTCCAGATGAAACAGCTGCTCCAGGAGGGAGGAGCAAGGACCCCACTGTGGGTGCGACCCCAGGAAAGGCTCATCTCCTCTCTAGACTCTTGTACCCCCTCAGGCAGGCTATGCTCTGGCCTTCTGCTCCTCTCCACCTCCCCTGATGCTCTGGTCCCCCTGAGGCTGGGTCCCTCCTTGGGCTCTTTTCACTATTAGGAGGCCCCACTCTCTGGGACCTGGGCCTCTTCCGAGAGGCGGGACAGCCTGGGTGTTCCCCACACCCCAACCTCCACCATCTCATCCTCTGGTTACCACTCCCTGAGGTATCACTCTACTGCCATATCCCGCCACGCCTGGGGGTGCCCCATATCATTGCCGTGGGCTACATGGATGACGCAGTTTGGGAAGTTTGACAGCGACTCTCCAGGGCAGAGCACGGAGCTGCTGGTGCCCCGGAGCTGCTGGCGCCCTGGGTGGGGCAGGTGGGGCAGGAGGATCTGGACGAGGAGACGCAGATCCAAAGGGATGAGGCTCAGTGGTTCAGGCGCTGCTGCGGGACCTGCGCGGCCTCTACAACCAGAACAACGGTGAGCTGCCCAGAGCCGGCCGTGGTGAAGTCACCACCCCCATTCCACCCTAAGGTTCCGGGTGTCTTGAGTCTCAGGGCTCCACTGACCCCCTAAGGCAGGTGGCTTGCCAGGTCCCTCCCCCAGGGTCCCCTGGGGAGACCCAGGGGACCCTCCCGCCTGCAGTTTCATGTTCAGTTCAGGTTGATTCAGGGGGAGAGGGCTGGTGACCCCGGGTGACCGCGGGGCTGACACTAGGGGGTTTAGGGTCTCACACCCTCCAGAGGATGTGTGGCTGCGACGTGGGGCCAGACGGGAGCCTCCTCCACAGGTAGGAGCAGTTTGCCTACCACCGCGCCTGATCACATCGCCCGGAACCTGGACCTGCGCTCCTGGACCCCCGCGGACCCGGTGGCCCAGATCACCAGGCGCCAGTGGGAGGCGTCGGGGAGGGCGGAGCGCGTCAGGGCCATTCTGCAGGGCAGGTGCCTGCCCTGGCTCCGCAGACTCCTGGAGATGGGGAAGGAGGTGCTGCAGCGCACAGGTAAGGGGGGGCTCAAGGTCTGGGACTCCCCTCACCCTGGGCCCCACAGGGAAATGAGATAATGGGCAGAACAGTGCCTGCTTTCTGGTCAGAGGGGAGGAGCCCCTGGGTGTCATATTCTGTACTAGAGAGACTGGCCCAGACAATGCTGCTTTCCTGGACGGTTAAGGAATCCGGCTGCTCCTGATGGGGGAGGGAGATTGTCTCAAGTATCTTCATTGGCTCCTTTTTGACCTGGCCACCATCTTAAAAAAAGAAAGAAAATCATCAATTTTTCTTTCAGGTCTTGTTTTGGTCTGAGAACAGTTTTAGATCTGACTCTGCCTTTCTGTGTCGCTCAGCCCCTACCAGGTCAGGAGCAGAGTCTGTGTCCTCCTTAGAGATCTGCACCCTCCCATCCTGGGCTTTCACTGATGATCCCAGATTCCCCAGACAGGGCTGGGCTCTGGGTTTCATGCTTCCTCCTCCACGCCATGTCCTGTCCATTCTGAGGATGGTCATGTGAGGCTGCTTCAGTGTCTGTGGAAGACACTGAATAAATTCAAAATGTGATATTTCTGATTTGTTCCTCCTCAGTTCTCCCAAACACACACATGACCCACCACCCCACCTCTGACCAGAATGTCACCCTGAAATGCTGGGCCCTGGGCTTCTACCCTGAGGAGATCACCCTGACCTGGCAGAGAGATGGGGAGAACCTGACCCAGGACATGAAGCTGGTGGACACCAGGCCTGGTGGAGATGGAACCTTCCAGGAATGGGCTGCTCTAGTGGTGCTTTCCCGAGAGGAACAGAGATATACGTGTCATGTGCAGCATGAGGGGCCGCTGGATCCCCAAGTCCTGAGATGGGGTGAGGATGGGGACATGGGCATAAGGGCTTTTCTCAGGAGGATCAGAGACCTTTCTGGGGACCTTCAGAGGATGAGGCCTGCGGCTCAAGCTCTCCCCTTCCCTTCCCTTCCAGAGCCCCCTCCTCAATCCTCCATCCCCTCTGGCCTGGTTCTCCTTGGACCTGTGCTCACTGGGGCTGCGGTGGCTGCAGCTGTGATGTGGAGGAAGAAGCGCTCAGGTAGGGAAGGGAGTTGGGGATCCTGTCCACTGGGGGCTTTCAAGTCCCAGGGGGAACTTGCCTCCCCTGGTTGATGAGCAGTACTTACCACACATGTGTGTCACCCAGAGGGTATTTGGTCTAGTCCCCTTCATCTCCTTTCTTCATTTTTCCAGTCCTGACTTGGATCACATTTCTGGAAACTTCCCTGTGGTACAGGATTTGAAGATTCCTTTAGGCTTCTAACTTGGTCTCCTGTAACATCTCTTCCCACAGGTGGGAAAGGAGGAAGCTACACTCAGGCTACAGCTGAGTGTGGATCAGGGGTTTGGTCCCTGAGCCCCTGGGACAGTGTAGATGGAGCCCCTGGGGGAGTCACCCCATCAGTCCCTCCTGTGCTATCCTCTCTCGTGGCTCTGACCAGGTCTGTGTTTTTCTCCCCCAGGCAGCAACAGTGTCCAGGGCTCTGATGAGTCTCTTAGCCCCTGAAGTGTCTTTCAAAATAAAGCAGATTTAATAAAATTATTCCTGTTGTTTTTAGATTCCATTTAATGTTGCTGTTTGCTTTTGTGTTTGACACTCTCCCCAGAGTGGTGTCCGCAGGGTCAGGCACAGAGTCTGTCCGGCAGCCTGATCTGTGAGCAGGGCTGAGGCCCAGAATCAGCCCAGGCTGGTCCCCCAGGCAGCACAGGCCTTGCTCTGCCTCCTCTTGGCTCCCTGAACCTCCATGCCCCAGTCCTGGGGAACTGGGGATGTTCTGCTCAGGAATTGGGACCTCCCCTAATGACCCCTCCTCCCCCACGCCTTCTCCCCCAGCCTGTGAGTGCCTGTGAGTTACAGCAGCCTTGCCAGGACAGGAAGGGCCTAAATGGACAGTTTCCTGCATCCCACCAGTGACACAGAGACTCTCGAGAGCCCCTGTCAACCAGAACCTCCCCCTCCGCACTCCCCATGCTGACCTCTCCCCCCTCCTTCCTCCCACCATTTCCTCCCCTCTCCATTTTACTACTGTCCCTATTTCCACCTTTGGCTCATCTTCCTAGAACTCTTCTTGGGTTTCCCCTCTTCTTAGGGGTGGACAATCCAGAGTTGGTGCCCAGGAAGGGGTGCTTTATCCCTGGAAACAGATACAGGAAAAAGTAACAAGGACTCTGGAGTAGAAGTTCCCATCCTAGGGACCGAGGGCACCCTGTATTATTTGAGGGCCCATCTGCAACTTGGGAAACAACTGTGATCTTGGAGTCCAGGCTGTGTCCTGAAGTTGAGTCCATGCTCACTCACTGACCCTGGGCCTGGGCGCCCCCTTGTGAGCAGACCCCTGTCCTGCAGCTGGAAGCCCAGGGCGCCCTGGGGGCCTGGCTGAGCAGGAGAAAGGGCAGCTCTGGGCTCCTGCGCTCAGCCCCGTGGCCACACGGGGGCGCTGCCGCGCTGCTCTGGTTCTGGCTGAGCCACTAGGACTGGAGGGGTCTGAGTGGGCAGAGTTGGGGGCGGCGTCCTGGGGGCTGGGATGCTCTGTGGGGAGACAGAGAACCCGGGCCCAGAGGAGGAGAGACCCAGGAGCCCTGCCTTGTGTGTGAGGTTTCCATCTTTTCCCCTAAACCTCTCTCTGGTCCCTTCCTAGCAAAACCTGAGGATACTGAAAAATAGATCATTGTTTCCCTCCTACAACCTGTAACCCTGTTAACAGAACCTTAAGAGATATTGCTAGACTTACAGGAAAGCAGCAAAGGTAGCAGAGTCCTACGTAACCCACATTATTCCAGACTGTTCACACCTGACGTGACTATTGAGTTACCTGGGGAGCTAAGGAAACGGTGCTGGTGTGGTTTCCCTAGACTCCACACTTCACTCGGGCCTCATTCGTTTCCCTAATGTCCTTATGCTCCCACACCCACCCAGGGTACCACACCAGTCCCGTCAGGTCTCCTGGCAGTGCCTCTGGCTGGCAGCTTCTCACATTTCCTTGACGTGGTGGCAGCTCAGGGGCAGCGGCTGGATTTGAGGCAGCAGGTGTGGAGAAGAGCTGCTCTCCACAACACACCCCCGGGCACAGAAGCTCTGATTTTCATTTAATCAGTAGCCTCTGTCATCTGAGGAGGTCCCATTGGGCAGCTCACACTCTGTTCTGCTGTCAACACTTCCACGAGGGTTGTTTCTCTGAATATAAATTTTCAGGTTAGTTGGGTAAACAGCTGGGACAGTGACCATGGGACTGTGTGGCCAGTCGGTGTCTGGCTTTAAACAAACTGTCAAATGTCTTCCCTAGTGACTGTGCCATCTCGTCCTGCCAGCAGTGAGGGTCCTGTTGCTGCAGTCAGCACAGGGGTGTGACCCTGGTATAAGGTTTTTACTTCTGGTAAGGGTGTAAGCATATCACTCTTGTTTGTTTTCAAAGATTCCTTTATTTACACATACAAGAACTTGGGTACAGGCTAGAGGTGCGAGGTGAGAGGATTTACCAGAGACAAAACAGGCTGATTGACGAAGTACACTGCTGAGGGGAACAGTGCATAGGTCAGGAGAGGTCTCCTGTATCTTGCGGGTCAACTCCCTGGCTGGGAATTGAACCTGTGCCACAGTGGCCACAGATAGCCCATAGTGCCACACCCTAACCCACTGTGCCACCAGGGAGGACCCTGTGTCACTCTTGTTTATAGTGTCTTTCCTAATAACATGTATTATTGAGCATTGTTCGTATATAATTATTTGGCAGCTATATCTTTTCATTGGTGAAGCCTTTTGTCCATTTAAACTGAGTTATTTTGGGCCCTCCCTGGTGGCGCAACAGGTTAAAGCACAGCACTATGAAGCTGTCTGCAGCTACTGCAGCACTTCAATATACTGCGTGAGTTTGACCCCCAGCCAGGGAGCTGACCCACATGGCATGGCAGACCTCTCCTGACCTGCCCGCCACTCCCCTCAGCAGTGTACTTCGTCGATCTGCCTGTTCTGCTCCCCGCTCTATCTCTGGGGAATCCTCTCACCTGCCACACCTTTGGTCTGTATCCCAGTTCTTGTATGCATAAATAAATAAATCTTTTAAAAATATAAATTGTGTTATTTTCTTGTTGTTGAGTTTAAGTGATCATTTATAAATTATAGATAGGAGTCCTTTCTCAGTAGGCTGAATCTCCCTCTGGGCAGACCTGGCCAGTGGGCATTTCCTGCAGCTGTGGCCTGGGCTGGAGGGGGTGACTGTCCCCTCCTGCTGACACTTCCCTCCTGCTCAGCCCTGAGAAGAGACAGGAAATAAGACAGGGGAACCCCCAGATAGTCAGGGCTACAGGAAATGGGAGACCTTAAGCTGTAAAGACCTTCACAGTCACCCTCACTGTCCCTGGGAGGGTGATCCATGAAAAGACCTCAGGCCAGTGATGGCAGAACATGGGCCCCTGACTCCCTGTCCCTGCTCGTCCCCTGATACTGAGGGAGGACAGAGCTGAGGGGCCAAAGAGGAGCTGGACACTTACCTCCTCCTGTTCTTCCCTCATGGAAACTATAGGAAACAGCTAGAATCAAATTTTTAAGCCACAGGAAGTCAATTATCTATAATGAGTATATTCTTATCCAGGGTTGAATATGATTTATAATATTTGACTATAAGTTTTAACCCTGATGCCAATATCAATCTAAGCACCAGTAGCTGTCTGTTATTTCTGCAAGCTCTTCAAATCTCCTCACTAAAATGTTGTTAGTGAAGGTCAATATCACAAGGACACCGACTTGTGCGTGTCCTGGGCAGTGACATGACACACACACTGTTGTTATGGGGGGCGGGGCCAGGATGTCAGGAGAGATGCCCTGGGGACACTGTGGTTGATCTGTCCTCTACTTCAAGCCCAGTCAGAAGTGAGCCATTGTCTCAGTTTGGCATGGACAGATTAGCACTATGTGCTCTTTCGGGTCACAGGAGGCAGTTTAACTGGACACTCTCCCACATTCTAGACCCCAGAGTATAGCCCTTTGTCCTGCTGGTACTGGGCTCCTGGGGACAATGACCTGAGAAAAGTGTCCTGATCCTGCCTGTGTCTGTCCTCAGCGCGGCCCCCCACCCCCACAACCAGCCCCTGTCACGCTGCTGCCTCAATTTGCCATCCAGGCAGTGGGTGGGGTGGCCAGACCCAGGCTAGACTGGAGAAGGGTGACCGCTGTGTCCCCTGCTTCCTCATATCAGGCTCGCTGCAGGGACTACAGGACCACAGACACGCTGTGAGCCTGAGCTAGAGGGTGATCGCGCCTTAAATATGCCGGGTTATGAGGAGGTTAAATAGCATAGTTGGCTCAAGAGTTATCAGGAAGACATGCTGTGGGTGGCCCTCTCACATAAAGCTTTGTGACATCAGATGGCTTTCAATGATCTATCGAGAAGTCCTGGGAACACAACAGTGGGGACCCCAGGGTCTGTGTCCCAAGTCTGTCTCACACTAACCACGGGGATGTTTCCACTCTCGCCTGTGAGATGGAACTGATAGAGTCTCACTTATCTGCCTCACACAGGTGTTAAAGGGATTAAGTTCAGGCCCCCCTGGTAGTTTAAGGGGTTAAATCTCAGCCCTATGATGCTATAGGCAGCCACTGCTGCAAGAATTCAATCCACAACCAGGGAGCTGACCCACAGGGCACAGCAGACCTCTCCTGTCTTGCCTGCTGCTCCCCTCAGCAGTGTATTTCAGATTATCCACCTGTTCTGCCCCTCACTCTGTGTGCACCCCAGTTCTTGTATGCATGTAAAATAAATCTCTAAAAATAGGATTAAGCTTAAACTTACAATTCTTTAAGAGTGAACAATATACTGCTTACAGGAGGTGAACTTTCAGTATAAAGACACACTCTAGGTAAACTGATGGGAAATACATATGCTGTGCAGCTAGAAACCATAACGAGATTGGAGTAGTCTATTAAAACAGGGGGAGTATTTCAAAGTAGAATTCACTGGCAGATGTAGAGAAACCCCCTCACTATGATAAACTGTAATGGAGTGAGGAAGGTCACAGTCACAGGCAGAAAGGAGCCACAGTTGCCTGGCGGGGTGGGGAGAGGGTCAAATATAAAGGTGCAGCTATTCACAGCAGCTAAAAAGAATGGAAACAGCCTAAATGCCCAAGCCAGATAGATGTCTGGATCAAGAAGATGCGGGAAATCCACACAGCGGGGTCCTACTCAGCCATCAGAAAAGACAAACTTAAGCCATTTGCAGCGACACGGATGGAGCTGGGATATGCCCAGTGAAGTCAGTCAGAAAGAAAAAGAAAATTATCAGATGGTTTCACTGAGAGGGAAACCATGCAAGGGATCGGGAATCAAAGACAAAACTAGCAGCAAACTGTGAGTGGAGACATTCATGGGGTGCCAGGAGTCAAGAACGGGAGGGAGGAGCCAAGAGTCTGTGGTGATGCTCACGGTGTCTGGGGGAGGTGAGTGCACGCGGACAGCACCTGAGGGCAGAAGTCAGGCATGTACACAAGCGAACAATGTAAAAATGTGTCACT